CACGGAGTGGATGGTCGTCGACGATTCCTTCTGTTGGCTTTGCCAGATGTTCGGGCGCCCCGAAGTGGACCTCTTCGTGTCGGTGTGGTCGCGGCGTCTTCCCGTGTATGCGGGGTGCCCTTCCCTGATCATGAGGCCGTTGGGGTCGATGCCTTTCGGCTAGGCTGGTCGAGGTGGGGGTTCCTGTTCCTCTTTACCCCGATTTGGCTGTTACTCCAGGTCCTGACTCACTTGGAGACTTACCAGGGGAGAGTTGTCCTTCTGGCCCCTTGGTGGCTGGCCCAGCCTTGGTTTCAGGCGCTGCTTGCTCCGAACCCAAAGGTTTTCCCGTGGCTCCGCCTCTTTCAGCAGATCGGGCCGGTACGTCACATGGCTGGTTCGATCTTCTCAAGTCTTTGCGTATGGGTTTTTTGACTCGAGTCTATCATCATCTCTATGGTGATCAGGTGGCCTCTTTGTTGGTGTCCCACCTGAGGGCTTCTTCTCAGCGGCAGTATAAAGTTTCCTGGCGGTCCTTCTGTTTCTTTTTTGCGTCTTCGTCGTGTTAGTTCGTTGTCTGTTAGGGTGGTCTTGTCCTTTCTCTCTTGGTTGTTTCAGGAACAGTCATCTTATGCCTAACACTATCACCTGGCAACCCGTTCTCGCAAATTCGTAAAGTCAATATTGACTTATTAACTACGTGCATAGGTGATATACTAAACATAATAGATACCCTTAAAAAGATTCATAGAAAACACCGACCTTACCTAACCTTGTTAGTATCTTAAGATAAGCATCTTATTGCTTCGTAATTACAATTATTACTTAACCTATACCTATTATAGGTTAGGTAATAATTGTAATTACGAAGCAATAAGATGCTTATCTTAACATACTAAGTAGGTTAGGTAAGGTCGGTGTTTTCTATGAATCTTTTTAAGGGTATCTATTATGTTAAGTATGTCACCTATGCACATATTTAATAAGTCAATATTGACTTATTAAATTTGCGAGAACGGGTTGCACCTGGTCACACTATCACCTGGTCACACGCCTGGCGTGTGAGGTCTGGGGCTCCCGCTTCCCCCTCCCGGGGAGGGGGGAGCTGCGCAAACAGTGGCGCGGTGATGTGTGACATCATGATCGTTTGCTCGTTTCGTTTAGGGGAGTTCTATCCACATGTTCAGCTTTTGGTAGCAATATTTTCAGGAGAATAGGGGTTTGTTTTGGGATGCTTACCTTTCTGGGTGCCTGACCCGGTCGATGGCAGACATAGAATGCTTCCAACCACATGAGGGTTTCTATAGGCCATTGCTCCCCTTGCCTTTTCTGAGGGGGCTAGGTTCTGGCTCGTGGTCCCCGGTAGGCCCATAGAACTCCATACACATGACTGATGCCAAAGTCTGACATTAGCGTATCAGCCTAGTAAGCTCTGGGGAGCCGAAGGGGGTCCCCCCAGAAAAGTTATGTATCTCGCCATGAGTCCCAAGAAAGCCAGTGGTAAGGTTCAACCTAAGAAAATAGATGTGAGTAGAGGCAGTGGAGGATGTCTCTTCCTCATCAAGAAAAATGTGTGAAGTATGGGAAGAACTGCTAAGTTTTGTTGAAAAAACTTGCCCAGATAAAGCTGTAGCAGGCCGTTTCATTGACCTTTTAAATGACAATGTGATGTCTTACTACAGACAAGTGTTGCAAAGAAGGGAAAAACAATCTTCAATGGATCGTTTCATTGTGAGAAAATCAAACAGTGAGCCACAACCAGGACCTAGTGGTATGCAGGCAAAATGTGCCAGAGTGCGCACTCCAGAAAAATCTTTACTGCCTTATGTTATAATGGAAGGGGACTTCCCTTCCAAACAGTAACACCGTTCCTCCTCCCCCCCTCCTCACCATCTTCCATACGCCAACAGGAGTCATCAGCAAGGGTAAGTAAAGAATAACTTGAACATACATTTGTAGTGTATTGAAGTATGTATAAAATTTAGTTTGAAGTGAAGTTTTTAGGTAGTCAGGAACGGATTAATTCATTTCTAATTATTTCTTATGGGTAAATTAGCTTCGGTTTATGAATTTTCGGGTTACGAGCTGTCTCCAGGATTGGATTAAATTCTTAAACCGAGGTACTCCTATATACAGAAAACCTATATTCTAATTTGATGAAAATGAAGACCATATGCTATTCTGAGAGCATAATAACACCAAATGAACAATTGGTGATAGTTTATATTTTGTAATCTGATATGAAAATCTGAAGTTTTCAATATTCAGTTTTAAAATTATTTTTGATTTTCTTGTTTTTTCAATTTATGTTGGTGATCAAGTGACAAAGTTGGAGGAGTTGCCGAATTGATTATGCACAAAAAATTGGAAAGCGTTTGTGCAAGTTTTAAAAACTGATGTCATGTCCTATCATATATGTACAGGCATACCTCAGAATACGAGTTTAATCCGTTCCTGGAGATGCCTCGCATTCCGAAAACTTGCATTCCGAAGTTAATTTCCCCATAAGAAATATAGGGAAATGAATTAATCCGTTCCTGACTACCCCAAAAACCCCACATCAAACTAAATTTTTATACCTAATTTACCTAATTCATCTAAATAAACCTACAAAACTATGTTCCAGTTATTACTTACCTTACTGTCGAGTGCTGTAGGCGTATGGAAGATGGTGAGGAGGGGGGAGGAGGAGAGGAGTTACTGTTTGGAAGGGGAGTCCCCTTCCATAATCACATCAGGCAGTGAGGACCTTTCTGGTGTGCTCTCCCTGGGACGTTTTACCTGAGTGCCACTAGGTCCTGGTTGAGGCTCACTGCTCGATTTCCTCACCACAAATCTGTCCATGGAAGCTTGCTTTTCCCTTCTTCGCAAGCTGTCTCTGTAGTAAGGCATCACATTGTCATTGAAAAGATTAAGACAACGGCCTACTACAGCTTTCTCTGGGTGAGTCTGTTCAATAGTTGTTTGAATCTCTTCCCACATCTGACACACCTTCTTAATTACTGCAGAAGGGACATTCGCTGGTGCTGTTGCCACCTCCTCCTCCACTGCAGAATCATTCGCTGCTGCGTTGGCTTGCTGTTCCTGTTGAAGGGCTAGGAGTTCTTCGGTGGTCAGTTCTTCGTTGTGTTCTTCCACCAACTCCTCCACATCATCACCATCCAATTCCAAGCCCATTTGCTGGCCTAGACTAACAATTTCCTCAACAATAGGCGCATCATTTATAGGCTCAAACCCCTCAAAGTCTAGTTCTCTCACACCTTCAGGCCACAATTTTCTCCAGCCAGAGATCAGGGTTCTTTGAGTCACTTCTTGCCAGGCTTTGTCAACGAGTTTTAAAGTACTACAAATGTTAAAATGCTCTCTCCAGAACTCTTTGAGGGTGAGGTTTGTGGCTTCAGTCACTTCAAAACATTTCCGGAAAAGTGCCCTTTCATACAGTTTCTTAAAATTCGCTATGATTTTCTGGTCCATAGGCTGAATTAGAGGAGTGGTGTTAGGAGGAAGGAATTTAACTGTGAGGAATTTATTGTATCTAGGCAACAAATCATCTTCCAAGCCTGGAGGATGAGCAGGAGCATTGTCAAGGAAAAGCACGGCTTTGATTGGCAATTGTTTCTCCTGCAGATATTTTTCTATGGCAGGGCACAGCACTTCATTCACCCACTCCGAAAAAATAAGCCTAGTCACCCATGCTTTTTTATTAGACTTCCACATCACACACAAATGGGTTTTCTGCACATTATACTGTTTGAAAACCCTTGGATTTTCAGAATGATACACTAGCAAGGGTTTAATTTTCAAATCGCCACTCACATTTCCACACAGCACAAGCGTAAACCTATCTTTCATAGGCTTGTGTCCAGGCAAGGATTTTTCCTCCTTGGTAATGTATGTCCTCTTAGGCATTCTTTTCCAAAACAGTCCTGTTTCGTCACAATTAAACACTTGTTGCGGTAGGTATCCCTCAGCCTCTGCAAACTCTTTAAATTCTTCAATAAATCGTCCAGCGGCTGGTTTGTCTGAGCTGGCTGCCTCCCCATGCCTTGTAACACTATGGATACCACTTCTCTTTCTAAATTTTTCAAACCAGCCCCTGCTTGCCTTAAACTCTTTCTTATCTGCATCACTCGTTGCAGGGGTCTTCTTTAGAAGGTCTTCGTGCAACACCCTGGCTTTCTCACAAATAATGGCCTCCGAAACACTATCACCCCTCAACTCCTTGTCGTGTATCCAAATTAATAACAACTTTTCCACTTCTTCAAGTATTTGTGGTCTTTGTGCCATTAATGTTCTTACTCCTTTTGCCACTTTAGCACCCATAATCTTATTTTTCTTCTTAAGTATAGTGCATATTGTTGATGTGGCTTTGTTGTACTGCCTACAAAGTTCAACAACACGTGTACCGTTCTCATGCTTCCGAATGATCTCTTGTTTCTCCTCTATTGTCATCCTCACATGAGCTTTCTAAAGCCTTTATCCTTACCACTGGCTTTCTTGGGACCCATGGTGAGATATATAATAACAAATTGTATAGACTAATCACCAAAAATCCAACAAAACACTGAAAATCCGCGAGAAGAATTGATGTGGGGGTAGTCACTGAGCGCGAGACAATGGTAAACTGAGGGGCGGCGGTGCAGAGGGGCGTACAGGCTAGGTCGGCCTGTACGCGTATCAACAAACTCGCGTCCCGAAGTAACCCTCGCCTTCTGAGACAAATTTTTGGAGTAAATACTGCTCGCCTTCCGAAAACCTCGCATAAAGGGACAATCGCATTCCGAGGTACCACTGTATGTTTTGCGCCGTTTAAGGGTTAATTGCTGTAGATTTAATCTCTTAACTTATTATGGTAAATCAATGCACATTTGCATTATTAACCCTTGGCATTTGGTGAGAATGACTTCGTGTACAAGTCTGACTAATCTTTTTATCTTTTTGAATAAAAATGTGGGTTCCATAATGAATGAAAATTTTCATATTCACCAAAAGCAAGTAAATATTATCATTCCCATTTTCAGTGTACAGTTTTGGAAATACGCAGTAACAGGGGCATGCAACAATTCAGAATTACGTGTTTGGTCATGCGAATCTTGGATATGTCATCAAACTCTACGCTTTGTCCCAGCTGCACAAGACCCTCCACAGAGCCCCCTCACATTTAAGGCAGCTATGGATCCCTCGGCCAATTTCCTTTTGCTCTCCGATATCTTCAGACGGGTATGTTTTTTGTGTGTGTATTAAAGTAAGTTGCAGTGAGCCTTTTTCAGAGCAGATTATCTTTGGCTGAATCTTTAGTAATACTATACAGCAATTTTCCTTTATCAAGCAAAATTTTATATTTTCCAATTAGAGTTTTTAATTATTTTATTAATGGTTAATTTGCATTGCATCGTGAATTGGATATCTGAATGAAATGAGGATTTTGCCGTTCAGTCCAGTATAAAGTTGACACTTGTTGACTTTTTCTTTAATGGTTTTTGGCTGAAATCATCTTTTGGTTATCAAAATCATTCCTTTACTTTATATTCTCTTAGGGTTTGGTATAAAAATGGATAATCTAAGGAGAAGTGAGGAATTAAAATATCATGGAAAGATTTGGAGTGTAAAATGTGGTGAATTACAAGTTTGTGGAGAGTGTACCAAGATGGTTTGGATATGGTGAATGAATGTGATGTTCAACTAGTGAGGTGAGAATAACGGTGAATTTCAGTGGAGGAGGAGTTGATTAGCGGACATTGTGTGTTAGGAAGGAGGGACACAAGGAATGTAAGGGACTAGACTAGATGGCCGTGGTTTGTGAGAATGGCATTAAGTCTGTACTGTGTGGATATTGATATGGAAGGAGCACTTGATACTTTGTACTGTGTGGATATTGATATGGAAGGAGCACTTGATACTTGGTCTTGTGAAGAGGTGGGGTGTTACTATGGACAAGTACTGTAGCGTGATGGAGGTAGTTTATCCGAGATGCTGTATAGTGTGAATTACATAATGGGCTACCTACCTGTTGAAAGAGTCCAAGGATTAGTATCTCCATGGCCAAGTCTGACCAGGCCAAGTGCTGTTTTTAATCTCTGATGCTCTTACATGCTTTTGGTCTATTTTTTAAATGGGCTGGTGCCTCATCACCCATACAACAAGGAAACTGGAAAATAATTATACATAGGTCATGTTATGTCTGTTTCAGGTCATGTATGTAATTGCAGTCTACCAAGATGGGAACAGTAGTAGTGGAACTGGAGGTGGTACTAGTGGGCTGACTGGTACTGGAGGAAACTTTGTTGTGAAGAACGGTGGTGGGGGTGGAGGTATTGCTCGACTTGTTTCTGTCTCCGAGTTTCCTGTCCAGTACCCTGCTCTGTCCATGTCCATTACAGATGCAGCTTGGAAACCTTATAAGCGCTGGAAACATGACCATGCACACGATCACACTCAAAATGCACATGGTAAGTGATCAAATTTTGTGTGCTATTTGATGGCTGTGCCTGTTAAAAAAGTAGATAAACTAACATTTCATATGCTGTTGTACTGAGGTAGATGATGCATCAGTCCACACTAGTGGTGGACTGATCTGTTCTGTTCATCCACTAGTGGTGGATGTACAGGTCAGGCAATATGACTTCCAGACATTGTTGATTCATTTTACTTAATTACATTTTACTTAATTAATTTACTTTACTTAATTACGCTACAGTATTAAGGGATTGATTCCACAGAGAAATCACACTATATCAATGAAGAAATCCACAGGAGCCTTCATGAGGGTTCGAACCTATGTGCTGGGTGTTCCCAGGTGTAATTTAGTCGATTGCACCACGACATTGTCAGAAGGTCAATAGTAACCCAGGTTGCAATTCATTTGACCATGTCGTGGTGCAGTTGACTAGAGCCCCACCTGGGAACACCCAGCATATAGGTCTGAACCCTCACCATGGCTCCTGTGGAATTGTTTAAAGGATTGAGTGTTAAATTTGGAGTTTAACACTTTCATCCTCCGGGGATGGATTTGATGTCCGGTGGGAATGCATGTGGTGTCTAAAATTAAAATATTTGTTAAAAATTCAATTTTTTACCCGATCATTATGGGACTACAGTAGTTTTACAATGCGCATATTTAGATTGTGAACAATTTGATACAAGAATGAACGATGTAGCACTAAAATTGAGGTGAGAAAACTGAACAGAGCATCCACATTTTAGTGGTGGTGTGCGGCTGGGTGATTGCTCATGGGTAACGCTCATCCGATTTATGGGTTTGCTGGTTTTTTTTACTTTATATGCATATATTCCTTTAGAGAATTCTATTGCGAACAATTTGATATCAAAATGAACAATGTAACACGAAAAATTGACATGAGAAAACTGAAAACAGTATACACATTTTAGTATAAGTGTTGGTGTGCAGATGTGTGCTCACTCACGGGAAACACTCGGCCGAATTTCGGGTTTGCTGTGGGTGGCACGCTGGGCTTCTTGACCTTGTATGCACATACCCCTGTAGGGAATTCTATTGCAAACAATTTGATACCAAAATGAATAATGTGGCATGAAAATTGATGTTATCAAACTGGAAATGAGTATACACATTTGTGTGCAGGTGTGTCAATGGGTGCTCGCTCACTGGTAACTCCCCCTGCATACTTTTATGTGCTAAATGTAATTGTTTAATATTAAAGTCCCTTAGCCTGCTCTCATTGTACAAGCTCGGTTCAGTAATGTTCATTTTGATTTTTCCATGAGCAGCCATCCTGGTACTTTTTCTGTATTTGGTCTCGCTCTTGTCTTTGCCGTTCCTTCCACATTATCACTGTAGGCAAAACTATCTTGATTTTTTCTTAAAAGTAGCAGTGTGTTGTGTTGCTCGCTTTATATTCACTACACACAAAGTTTAATGAGACACCAATTAGACTAGGACATTTGTCTAAGAAAAATTTAGACTTGAAAAGTCATGCATATTTTATTGAGAGAATATCGCTTTGACTTCAGTAAGTGGAGGTATGAAAGCAAGAAGCATGTTAGTAGTAGTAGAGGAGCAAGAAGCTGCTTTGTAACTAGAAGCTAATCACAGGGTTTGGGCTGTTAACCCCTTACCTGTGTTGCCTCCAAATGTGACACCCCCAGAATGCGCAGGAAATAAATTCTCTGGAAAAAATTATTTTTTCTTTTTAAAGTGTCAAAAACCCTTCCCTCAGTATGGGTATGTAAAAAAAAAAAAAGTCGAAATTGTACTTACTTTGGCTGCTATGGGGTCCGGAAGTTGGGGCGTGACGTCATCATTCCCCGTGCGCCCGTGCCATAAGCTCTCGGGGGGGCGGTGGGGCGCTCGGGGCGGGGTGCGCGAGTTGCCGCGAATATATTTTCGTTCATTTTTTGCGCACCTTTCCAAATACATTTTCATTGTTTTTATGTGCCAATCCAATGTATAATGAACACGTACACTATAATATCGCAGTACAACATCCGTACTGTCCGTAGACACTGTGTTCATAACATGAAACTTGTGTACACATATGCAGCACATATTTACTATGTATCATGCTAATTTGTGTATATATACAATATATTTACACACTATACACTGTCACACACTATATACATTTACCATCAACACATTCAGAACATTGCGTAGCAGCTGTTTCGTATGGGCCAATAGTAGCTGCCTCATATGGGCCAATAGCAGCTGCCTCATATGGGCCAATATCAGCTGCCTCGTATGGGCCAATAGCAGCTGCCTCGTATGGGCCAATAGCAGCTGCCTCGTATGGGCCAATATCAGCTGCCTCGTATGGGCCAATAGCAGCTGCCTCGTATGGGCCAATAGCAGCTGCCTCGTATGGGCCAATAGCTGCTGCCCCGTATGGGCCAATAGCAGCTGCCTCGTATGGGCCAATAGCAGCTGCCTCGTATGGGCCAATAGCAGCTGCCTCGTATGGGCTAATAGCAGCTGCCTTGTATGGGCCAATTGCAGCTGCCCCGTATGGGCCAATAGCAGCTGCCTCGTATGGGCCAATAGCAGCTGCCTCGTATGGGCCAATAGCAGCTGCCTCGTATGGGCCAATAGCAGCTGCCTCGTATGGGCCAATAGCAGCTGCCTCGTATGGGCCAATAGCAGCTGCCTCGTATGGGCCAATAGCAGCTGCCTCGTATGGGCCAATAGCAGCTGCCTCGTATGGGCCAATAGCAGCTGCCGCGTATGGGCCAATAGCAGCTGCCTCGTATGGGCCAATAGCAGCTGCCTCATATGGGCCAATAGCAGTTGCCGCATATGGGCCAATAGGAGCATTTGGCCATGAACACATTCAGAACACCTCGAGTGAGAGCAGCCACACCCAGCCAGTCTCCCTCACTCCAACGTCTTACTCACCAACATTGCTCCTCCCACCATATTGCTATAGTTCTTATTACACATGTTCTATATACCTATCTACATGTTTTATTTACCAGAACTATGCAAGTAAGCCGGTAGTGTGTCCAAACAGTACAGTGGCCACCATACACTGCATGAAAAATCACACAGCAGACGATGCTACGATTACGTCACCTCCCTCACCAAAATAGCTCCTCTCAACATTCTTCTGTTGCTGTTCTTACACTATATACACACACTATATATACCCATGTACATATGTGTTGCCCATAGCGAACCACTAAGCTAGTATGGTGAGCAAAACAAGAGTGGCAGCCACACACACACAATGAGGCTACCTCAATTCTCGCCCTCTCTCCCTCATCAAAATTCCTCCTTCCACAATACTACTCACAACGCTAATTATAACCACAATCCTGCTATTATCACAATCCTGGTCACTAATTCCTGTAAATGAATAATTGACCACACGTTTATTTTAAAAAGGAACCTAAGAAATCATTTGAAGATTCCTAGATGAACGAAATAATGCTGTGGTGCTGTGGCTAGCGCTGTGAACATCGTGAACAGCATTGAATCACTGATATTTGAACATTGTACCCAGTCATTATCACACTCAGGCTCTAATATAACACTATCATAGCTAAATAATACAAGTTATATATATATTTTGAGATTATTAGGCGATGCTGTGGTCACATGCTGAACAGCAGTCCTGTGCGCTCATGCTGCGAGCGCCAGCCTTGGTTGCTCTCACACTACTGAGGCTCTGACACCCGGCAATGTGGACCACGATTTTTTTTAAAGATGGCGTCTGTTTACAAGAGCCCTGAGGAAGCTGATGTGAACCACATGTAGCCGCGGGAGTTTTGAATGGAACGTGAAAAATACAAATACCCGGAGGCGCGTTGCGCAAACCAGACGTGAGCCTGCAGGCGCGTTGCGCAGTTTAAGGGTTAAGCCTTATTGTATTACCTTAGCCCATGAGTATTCAGCTGGTTTACAGGCTGACATAACTTGAATGGTCTAGTATTGTTACGTGAAAAGGTACTGCAGTTATACCCAGCAGATGGTAGGCTTCATGTTGGCACAAAAAAAAATATATTTGTGTTTGTGTAGTATAATAACAGCAATACTATTAGTTTGTTTTATGAACATAATAATTGAATCACTAATATGCACACCATGCTTTTGAGTATAACGATGGTTCACACGTTTTATTATATAAATATATCACTTTGCACACTATTGAATATTACTATTGCAAAAAGCTAAGCAAAAAATCAGACATTGAAATAATTAGGTAATAATATCTTTATGGCAACTTCCGCCTGACAGCTGGGGTGGAGGAAACTGTTGCGGGACGCTTACTCTGTCAGCACCTTAGTTTTGCCAGACTTCCTTGCCCTATTGCAGCCAAAATATGTCGCCTACAATTTTTTTTTATTATTTATCCTGTGATCAGGAAGCACATTTTTAACAATCATAGAACCAAAAAAAAAACATAGTCTCCGGGTGAACAGAACCGGTCGCTATGTGTATATCAGACAGCCGCACTGTACCTCTCGCCCCAGCCAGTGACGATACTATCTCCTACCCAAGGTCAAACAGGAGTAAGAACCTCCCCAGCTGAACCCCCAAGGGCGGGCAATCATCGAGCAGCGACAGAACCACACGGAGGTAGCTGCTCCTGAATGGCTCATGGAAGAGAACCCTGAGGCTGCAAAGGCAGTACTTACGGGGCACCCAGGGAAGGTGGCCCTAGGTGCATGCAGCCCCAGTACTCTTGTGTTACTTCTAGCTCACATGCCACCAAAACAGCAACACCACCTCACTGCAGCACTGCGTAAAGAGAGGAGCCAGAACGATCGACCGTCACCAACACAACAGCCTCTTGAACTGAGGAGAGTTGCCGGCGTGGAGGTCTGGGACCCTCCCAGTCCCCCGCCTGAGGAGGGGGGGGGGGTTGCGCAGACGGATGCGCGGTGGTTGTGGTGACGTCTTGTTTGTTTCCTTGTTTTTGATTGGGGAGTTCTGTTTGCTAGTTCGGCTTTCGGTTTGCCATTTTTGACCAGCAGT